CCGAGCGCTGAACAACTATCTGTAGTATCACCACTTCGCGCTGGAGTCATTGAAGACAGTGCCGGATCACCTGCAGCTAGGGGATGTGATGATCGGGATAGACTTAAAGGGGAAGTATACCCTAAAATCAAATTTTCACCAGTTGTAGTCTTCGGGGTGCTGAGTCGAATGGTCTTGGTCCGAGGAAGCTGCGACGCTCCCTTCCTACTTGAATCCCAATCGAACTCGCGCACTTCCACCGAAACTGGGTGACTGCGCCCTACTAGATGGGGATTTGTATGCAAAATGTCACTAAAAGCGCCATTTCGTTCTTATAAAAGCACGGATGACCGCGATTGGCCCATATGTTGTAGTCTTTTGGACGCTGAGTCGACTGGTTTTGGTCCGAAAAGGCTGCGATGCAGCTTTCCTCCTTTATTCCCAATCGAACATGGTTGAAGAAGCGGTCACGTGGTCCTGGTTGCCCAAATCACCTGGTCACCGCGCCAGCAGGCGACAACTTTCACACCAAGGTTCAACTCGAGTGACAGGACTGCACCCAAAAAAGGTCAAACAGGCTAGTAAGTTGTACCCTGCAGGCACGGTGACCAGGTGACTGGTGTACCCAGGAGCACGTGACCGCTTGTTCAACCATGTTCGATTGGGAATAAAGGAGGAACGCTGCATCGCAGCCTTTTCGGACCAAAACCAGTCGACTCAGCGTCCAAAAGACTACAACATATGGGCCAATCGCGGTCATCCGTGCTTTTATAAGAACGAAATGGCGCTTTTAGTGACATTTTGCATACAAATCCCCATCTAGTAGGGCGCAGTCACCCAGTTTCGGTGGAAGTGCGCGAGTTCGATTGGGATTCAAGTAGGAAGGGAGCGTCTCAGCTTCCTCGGACCAAGACCATTCGACTCAGCACCCCGAAGACTACAACTGGTGAAAATTTGATTTTAGGGTATACTTCCCCTTTAAGAGATGCTTATTTCTCCAGTCCAGCGGCTCGATCGTCAGTTTCTCTAGTTTTCAGTGGTATCAACAGATTTCCCAGTTTAACTGTCTACCGTTTGGCTTGCGCAGTGGTCCCAGAGGCCAGAGTCTTCACCAAGACTAGCTCCTGCACCCTGTAGTGAAGATGGTACGTTCTCTCGGCCTACACCTGGTGATTTACCTCGCCGACGTATTTATCATGGCACGGACAACGTCCGACCTGTTGCTACCATTATTCATCTGCTGATTGGTCTTGGGCTCGATATCAACTGGACGCAGTCGTATCTGATTCCCACCAGGCAGATACAATACCTGGGTATTCAGGTCAACTCCGTCACCATGGAGTTCTCATTGCCAGACTCGAAAGCATCCACGCTTCAACAACAATGTGCGCGTCTGCTGGCTGCTCACACCGTATGTCTTCGGGGTATTGCGTCAATTGTGGGCATGATGGTGTCCACCATGGTTGCCGTGGTTCCTGCATCACTTAACTATCGTTGCTTGCAGTGTTTGAAGACTACGTTCCTACGGCAGGGTCCCTTTTACACTTACCGGCTTACTCTCAGTCATGAGTGCCATGCCGAGATTCATTAGTGGATTCGGCATCTCCAGCTGTGGAGTGGGCGACCTGTACGCCTTTCCGAACCGAACCATCCAGTCCGATGCATTCCATGCAGGTCATTCGGGATGGGGCCCGGTGCATATTGTACCAATGTCACCACAGGCGGCTGATGGACATCTGCCGAGAAGCAGCTTCACATGAATGTCCCGGAACCGCTCACAGCCCAGTATGCTGTCCAGTCGCCAGCGCCTTCTCTATACCAGGGCAGTATTCTCCTGCAGCTCGACTAACGTGTGGCTGTTCCCTGTTCGCCCCGCACTGGCAGTCGTTCATCACCGACATTAGACAGGATAGCTGCCACGCTGTGGGAGTGGTGTCAGTCTGCTCAGAGATATCACTTTGCTTCCCAATATCTACCTGATGCAGTGAATACAGTTGCCGATTATCACTCTCGCCATCATACGGATACCAGCGCCTGGATGCTCGACCGGTCAGTTTTCCAGGATCACCAGATCATGTGACCGAGTGCCTGCGACCTGTTTGCATCTCGCACTAAATTTCGACTGCACACGTACGTCAGTTGGCGCCCATATGCACACAGCCCGCATGCCTTCCGTCTCCACTGGTCCTGCCTGCAAGTCTATGCCTTCCCTCCAATCTATCTGATTGGCAAATGCCCGGCCAGGGTTGTTCTACAGGAGATCCCATCCATAGGCATGGTCACTCCGCTTTGGCCCGGCCAGGCTTGGTTTCCAGCTCTCTTGGCACTAGTGGTGGACGTTCCGCGCGTGCTGTCAGCCTCTCCGGTCTTGTTCGCTGGTCCAGATCACAAACTTCACCCGTCAGTACAGTCAGCTCACTTCACCCTGGTCGCATGGAAACTCTCCGGGCTAGCAACAGCCGCAGCGGAGTTTCGGGCGACACTGCCAACCTACTCTTGGCATCATGGCGTTCCCTCACCGACCGTGTGTATCAGTCGGCATGGAACACATGGTGTGATTGGTGTGCCACACGGCAAATTGCTTCCCTGGGTGTTCTCTCAGAGGTCCTCGATTTTCTGACCTCCCAATTCCGTCGGGCTCGACTGTATCATACGCTAGGGTTGTACCGGTCAGCCATGTCAATGACGCTTCCTCCCATCGATGGCGTTGTGGTTGGCCCGCATCCTCTGGTGTCTCATATTCTCCCCGGTGCATCCCACTCCCGTCCTTCTCAGCCGTGCTATGGCAGGATGTGGAATGTACAGGCAGTCCTGGATTGGTTCCGGAACATGTCCTTCACGCATGAGTCTCTCAAAGAACTGACTCTCAGGTTGACTATGCTGCTGGCTCTGACGGGTGCCCGGCGTTGCTCTGAGCTGCAGAAGCTCGATGTTCGTTTTATGGACATTATTGTCAACACTGCTTCATTTGGGATCCCCACTTTTACCCAGAATCAGCGCGTCGGTGATCCAGCCAAGCAGTTTGTCTTCCCTGCTTGCCCTCAGCACCCTCCGTTGTGTGTGGGTGCTCTAAGGCAGTATTCTGCTCGCACAGAGAGAGAGTTTCCCGCCCGTTGCCGCCGCGTCTGCCAACCCTCTGCTGCTGTCGCTCCGACGGCCTCACAAGCCGGTCTCACCGAGCACCGTTGCCGCTGAGGTGGCTCCTCACTTCCATGTCGGATGCTGGTGTGGACACCATCGTTTTTCTGATGGCACCACCTTCGGTGCGACTGTCCTTGGCTGACAGTCTGTTATTCCGCCGCTCATGATTGCGGCCGATAGGGTGCACGGCTTCAGTCCGCCGTGTTCTTTTCTCCTACCCATTTGGGTTTTTCTCAGACCTTTTCCTTTCCAAAGGTCCTGTATATACCTGGTGCACCAGTTTTCCCAGGTGTTCCCACTCTGGAGTTTGCATTGTCCGTTAATTCTGCATAGTTGCCAATGCTAAGTTGTATTCCATTTTGGTATGATCTACTCCACTCGCCGTTCCGTGCGTAAGTTTTATGATAATTCCATCTGTACTCAGTGATGGTCATTCGGTGGTCTGTGCCTGGCATAGTGTGGGCTGATTATGCTTGTTTATCATGCCACGCACCTTTTACTAGAACTTTCACTAAGTCCTTGTGTGGACAGTGTGATAGTTTCTTGTTTCCGCTCAGGGTGGGAACCGACTTTAAACAAGACATAGTTATATCTCACCGGAAACTCCGACATGCAATTTCCCATTTCACAAGCAATGGAAAATTGTGTAGTGAAGTGGGAATTGTATAAGGAGTTGGAGGTGAGATATAACTATGTCCCACCCACCCACCCTGTTTGGGTTTGTTCTCCATGAAAATAGGCCTGAAGGCTGAAGGGCCTTGGATGAGCTGCATCAAGTACAGCTTCATTAGAATATTGAACTTAAAAAAAATGCTGTGTTCGAGCATGAAATCGCGTAAATCGCGAGGGCTAGACATAGTTATATCTCACCTCCAACTCCTTATACAATTCCCACTTCACTACACAATTTTCCATTGCTTGTGAAATGGGAAACTCCTCGCCAAAGCAGAGCGTCTTCCGGTCATGGGGTGCGCATGCGAGAACGGCTCACACCTCATGACTGGCTGTTCACAAACTGACAAAGCTAGCGGGTAGAGGGGTGGTACTACATGTAACGATGGCCTCGGCTAGCTAAACCGCGAAGGTCACAATCTGTCAATCATCATTATCGACTGGATTAGGTCCTTGATCCCCTGGCATGTACGTCTGCACTACAGGTAGATCTACATGAATATACAACTACAACTACATAATCATTGTACTTACTTACAAGTAGCGTCCGTCTACTGGCTGCGCCGTTCCAAAACTCCACTGATGATCATGTAGATCCGTTCCTCCAGTCTAGTCCTGTCTCCAGTCTCCACTCCAGTTTACATATCTCGCATTGCGAGCAGGCAACACACGTAGATCTACATGTACTTCTCTGTACTTTTTTTGTAGACCCGCACGCAGCTGCGTAAACTCTGACAGTTTGGTGCTGTAGCCAGTGTAGATCTACAATCATGGTGTAGGCCAGGGACTACTGGCAGTACTGCGAGCCAACCGCTGCGTCGGCTCTAGTCTACCGTCCTGCAGAACTCCATTTCCTCTCCTTTCTCACATAACAAGTTTCTGTCTGGGTTGGTCGACGGGAAACGTTCCTGGCCCTCAACCATGAGTATCGAAAAAGATAACCTGCAGTTGATACGTGAGGCCGTTGCTTCACTTGCAGCCAAGGATCGAGAGAAGGAGAACGCCAAGCTGAAAGAAGCCGAGCGCCGGGCCAAGGCAAAGAAGAAGAAGAGGCAGCGGCCAGACGGGAGGCGCAGCTAAACGAAGTCATAACCCGAGTGTTGAAGGCCACAAACCCTCGATTACCGTCCAACGTAACACGCTATAACTACAAGGAGGGCGCTTACAAGTCTATCGGTATTACGGAGCACATGGTCGTCCACTGGGAGATGCCCAGCTATCTCATTCGGGCGGATTCTGAAGAGGCTGAAAGACAACGCTCGCGCGCCCTAGATTACGAGAGAAGCGGCTCGCTCACCACCACCACCTCCCGATGTTTCTCGCATTCGCTAGACCCGGACGAGCAGAGTGACGAGGACGAGGACGACGACAACGACGATGAGGATGATGACGGGGAGGAATCGTCGACCAGGAGAGCAAAGAAGGAGAAGAATGCGGACGCATCCAGAGAGGGCGGCGGTGCTGCCGCAACTGCCGATGCTGGCGGAGACTCGAAGCTATTGATCCAGTTCAACTACATCGATCGTGAAACTCAAACCTTGGATACATCGTTTACATCGACACGCGAGACGATGACCGTTCCGCCAAAGCGCGCCGGCTATTCAGACAGTGTCACTCAGTGGGAGATCTACGACAGGTGCATCGAGGAACAAGCGCGCTTGGAAGCGGAGAAGAAGCGGAAAGCGGCTGCCAGTGCGCGCCAGCCGGCAGGCGGAGCGCAGGCGCAGGCAGCGGCGGAACCTGAGCCACTACCGGACGAGCCAGACGAGCTTGAGATCACGATCAAGCTGGAGAACCTGGAGCCCAGCGGTGGTTCAGGAGGCAAGAAGAAGAAGACAGGTGGCATAGGGGGCAAGGGTGGTGATGATGATGGTGACGCCGAGGAGCCTGTGAAGGAGCACGATTGCTCGGCCATCAGCAAGGTGGCCAAGGTCATGGAGCGCATGGTCACGCAGAACGGCGTGCGCGATCGCATTCACGACATGGTGTACTTTGACGATCCGCGTGACGGCACGTCAGGCTACAAGAAGGCCGGCACGCTCAGTGCTACACCTGTGGAGCGTGAAGGGTAACTACGGGTTCGGTATAGCGGTGAAGTCGTTCTGCCTGTGCCCGCGCTACTCGGACATGTTCGTCGCCACCTACTGCAGCGTGGACCTGATTGACAAGGTGGGCGAGGGGTCGGTGTGCCTGCACACGCTGAAGAACCCGGCGTTCCCCGACCACGTGATGGACATGGCGAGCGGCGTGATGAGCGTGGACGTGCACCCGAAGCAGTGCCACATGCTGTGCATCGGAATGCTGGACGGACGCGTGGCCGTCCTGGACGCCCGTCGGCCCAGCGCCAACGCCATACTGTGCGAGAGCCCTGTGCTAGAGCGGCACACGGACATGGTGTGGCAGGTGCGATGGCAGAAAGACGACCCGCAGCGCCGTCTCAACTTCTTCAGCGTGTCGTCCGACGGCTTCATCGCTCAGTGGACGGTGACGAAGGACGCGCTCGCACGGCGCAACATCACCCCCATCATGCAGCTGAAGGACAAGGCGAAAATCCCCATCATCCCCGAGCCGTGGATGGAGCCGGAGAAACAGCTGAACTTGGCGCGTGGAAGCTGCTTTGATTTCATCCCCACCCTGGACAACGTGTACCTGATAGGAACCGAGGAGGGAATCATACACAAGTGCTCCACGCTTTACCAGCAGAACTACATCCGCTTATTCCAAGCGCACAACTTCACCATCTACGCGGTGCGTTGGAACCCATTCCAGCCGCGTGTGTTTGCGACGTGCGGAGTGGACTGTTGCGTGAAGATCTGGGATGATGAGCGGCCAGAGACGCCGCTGTTTGTATTCGACCTGGACGACCCCGTGATTGACTTCTGCTGGGCATCGTACTCGTCAACCGTGTTTGTAGCTGGCACAATGAACGGATATGTAAGTGAATTCCATGTGTTTGTATGTACATGGTGTGTGTGTGTGTTTGTGTGTGTTTGTGTGTGTTTGTGTGTGTGTATGTGTGTTTGTGTGTGTGTATGTGTGTTTGTGTGTGTGTATGTGTGTGTGTGTGTGTGTGTGTGTGTGTGAGAGAGAGAGAGCGTGCGAGCGTGTGTTGGCGTGCTCACTCGTGCACGTGTGTGCTCATATGTTTGTCTGTATGCTGCGAGGTGTTTCAATGTGGGTACCAGTATATGCTCCAGAGCCGGGTCAGCCGGGTCAGCGGCCCGGTTGGGGTGTACTTGGACCCGTTTGGAAAAAGAACACTGGGTCACTTGTGACCCGGTTGGAAATACATATACATCACGGATTACTGTAAAAACCATTATTCTAACGAGGCGCATATACAACGATTACCTAAAATTGACTGGTTTACGTGAACAAAAGGTAACAATTCTGACTCGTTCTCAACGCTCAATAGGAACAGTACTGTATCGATTTCTGTATAAGGATTTCTATTTTAACAACAGATTTCTCATCGTTAACTCGTTAAAATTAGCACTTCGTTGTATAAAAAGTAAAAAGGACCAAGGAACTACAAGTTACACTATAATGTCCACTAACACCACCATTGATTGTTTAGTAACTGGTGGTGTTAGTGGATATTATAGTGTAACTTGTAGTTCCTTGGTCCTTTTTACTTTTTATAAATAATCCTTGGCTCTCCATCCTACTTCGTTATATACATCCGGGCTTTTACACTAGTCGCCTTGACAGGTTCAAGTAGTTAGTTACTGCACAGTAGTGACAACAGTGACTGAGTGCTACTACGCAACATAACTACACGCGTCGCAAAAGAAATCCGACCCAGGAGCTGAAAGCAGCACCACGGCTCATGCAGCCCTCGGATGGGTTTTTGGACCATGCATGATGTAACTGGAATGGAAAAGCACTGCTACTTAAAGTCTTTTGACTCGTGGGTCGGATTTCTTCGGCCACGACAGTACTTTGTGCGCCATCCCAAGAAATTTGTTTTCACGGGGAAAAAACTAATGATGAACATGCCACGATTTATCGTGTACATTACATGTAATACATTGTGTCCAGCTTGAGTTTGCACAATGGGTAAAGACAGGGAATTATTGACTTGGTCGCGGGTGACTCTATCTATGTGAGCGCAGTCACGGCAAAGGGATAATCTATGCCAATATGGCGAGTTTTCGAAGATCCTTGATGACCTGAACAAACAAAACTCGGCGTGATCTTGTTTCATGGAACCTGGATGCGGAGCTGCATACTCTGGTTTATGTAAATTACTCTGGACCTGATTGTGCGTGGCCAATAATACTGTAGCGGACATTGACATCCGTTGAGAAGTCAAGCGGCCACGGGGCGCTGGCCTTGCAGCCGCAAACACAGCGGGTCCATTTCTCCAGTGTTAACGTGAACTACAGGGCATGTACTCGCTAAAAGTGACGTAAGTAAGGGCGCCGGCCCCGGTCATCCCATCGGATTTCAATGTCCACAACAGCAGCATCCTTTGAGATGATCGTAAACAAATTAAAAAAGTATAAAAAAGAAATCCTGGCAGCGTTGGGATTCGAACCCACGCCTCAGAAGAGACTGGAGCCTAAATCCAGCGTCTTAGACCACTCGGCCACGCTACCATTCACGAACTATCTGGCTAGTGCTTCGCTGAACAATATGGAGCGACAGGATTTGAAGTTGCACTGGTTGTTGGGACACAGCAAGATTTGCCCAGATCCCCGGAAAAATGCATTTCTGAGTTATTTTTTCATGAAGTATCACCAGTGATATGAGTCATGACTACTGTTAGAAAACTTATGCTTAGATTACTGTAAAGTGAGAAACGTTCGCTAGAGATGAATTTTCCCTATTTTCACCACCATCACACATTCGAGAAAATAAATCGCCGCACACTGCTCTGTACATTGATCGTAGACAGTAAGGTCCAACTGAAGAGATACGATCGCAAAAGTTTCTCATCGTGAACCAGCCCAATTCATGAAAACGCGAAATGTGTGCGCCGCGAAAGTTGATCGCGTTTTAAGAAGGCGCAAGTAGCAAAGATCTGATAGACCTGTCCTCCCTGAATTTGATGATGGTTGTGATTAGTGGTCCTCACGGTTAGCCGCGGGTACCCGTGAAGACCTCGGGTAGCTCGGGGAGAGAGAATAGTACCCAAAACCCGAAGTCGGAGATGACATAATGTACAGTGCACATGTACAAAATTATGTAATACTCCGCAGGTCAAGCTTCAGCCGCTCTGAACCTACCCAGAGCTACGTCTCGTTATGGCCTTAAAATTATTTCATTTTTGGCAGCAGACAGATGGAACATGCTTCCACCTGGATGTCGTCAAGCTAAGACCCTTTCAGCATTTGTCACAAGCACCAAGTCATTCCTAGGGTTCCCAGTAAAAAGGCAACGCCTGTTGGGATTCCCTAGTAAAATAATAAATTCTTCTACTACTACTACTACCCAGTGTGTAGCTGTAAGGGAAGGGGTGCATTGTGGAGTTACCATGGAAACATCACCCGATCGGGTACCCTTGCAACCCGTAGAAAACTACCCGAACCCGATACCTGAAGAAAATGCTACCCGACTCAGCCTTAGTTGTGATGCTGATCACCGGGGTCTGGAGAACTTTAAAGGGATGCTCCTGCAGTTATCTTTCCGTTTTGTACAGAGCCTGACGATGTAATGGAGTCTGGCCCCTGTGCCCTGGGGTATTTCTCTGTGCCCCGGATAGGGGCAGTCCTAGGCATCCTGTACCGTAGTCCTTGGTTCACTGTACACTGCTTGATTGGTGTGACATATATTATAATATCAGCTTGCACCGCAGTCAGTCTCAATACAGCAGTGTGGGATTTCACCGACCATAATACTGCCGTGGACATGGATATCCAGTCGATTGATCGGGGCCTGCGCCCTCAGCGCCTACTGAACAGTGCACAATCATGTTGATCCGATACGACCAGTGTGCTGCAGCGCATAATAAGTTCATGTATGTCATCAGGTCATGCGCATATACTGCTTACCCATGGCTGCATGGCCAGCACCCTGAGGCCGCTAGATGTGCGACCGGATTTCCATGTCCACGACAGTACATGATGTATTGCGCAAGGATCGTTTTTAAGAGATGATGTTTTCCTGGCTCGGAAGTATGCCACAACATTACAGCTGTTCGACATTGTATGGCTAAGAACAAGTCGCCACCAGCAAGAAACACAGCACACCGTATGTGTAACACACCCATCCCAATAGATCACCCACTACACACGTGTACAACCATTGAAAAACAATCACTGTTTCGTTTGCTTCCTTTTGTCCCATGCCGGTGTGCGCGTGTGCAGGCCCATGTGTACGACTTGGACATTGACAAGTACAACCCGCTGTGCAAGCAGGACGTCATACCGTACAGCAAGAATCACCTCACCAAGGTGCACTTCGTCCCGTCGCAGATGCTTCTCATTAGGGACCTTTCGCATTTGCTACGAATCGAATGCAAAACGAAAGTTTGATTCGGCTCGTAATCGTTTCGTTGAAAACAGAATTCAGGTTTCGCAAGTCGTAATGCAAATGTGCATGGCAACTACGAATACGGCCGGTAGCTTGGCATACGGGTGTGTTCGCGCACACATGCATGGATCATGGAATCAAGGGAAAAATGTGTACCTGGCAAAAAATGTGTACCTGGCCAAATAAATGTGTACCTGACGGATTCGGAGCGTGCCACGAATGAAGAGGCTTCCATTCGTGAAAACGAGCTCTCCGCGGCGACTCTGACGAATCCTCGAACCCAGGTGACGAATCAGCATTCGTTTCGTATCCGTAGGCGTGGTGCGAAAGGTCCCTATTGCCGGCGACGATCATGGCAACATACACACGTACAAACTCTCACCCAACCTGCGCAGGGGCGTGCGCAAGACGTCACGCCAAAGCCAGTTGCGCAAGATGAACGAAGTCATCGCCTGGGTGTGGGAGCCAGCCGATATGGCCAGTGGTAACAAGAAGAAGAACAAGAAGGGTGGCAGAGGCGGCAAAGGTAAGGGTAAGAAGAAGGCGAAACACTAGGAGCAGCTGCTGATGTAGCCACACTGGCATGTCGCATGTATCCCTCCTACTGCATAGTGCACACAAGGTGTTCAAGCAGCCACGCTTGCTAGTCGGATGCGGCGTCCTACAGGAAAGTGCAACTGTGAGTAAGGAGTTTTTGTATACGCGTAGTATTACCAGCTTTGCACGGCACTACACTCCGATTCCCATTAGACAGCATAACATTTGCCAATGTCGGATCCGCGTGACGGATTTAGTGAAACCTTGTCTCATGAATCAAAAGTTCAGTTGCATGGCTTTGTTGTGGAGCGTCACACAGTGGGAGATTTACGACGCGTACACCGAGGAGCTGGAGCAGCAGAAGCACGAGAAGGAGGCCAAGGAGAAGAAGGGCGGCCGCGACGAGACGGCAAAGCGTTGGGGAGACGATGAGCTGGGTATGACGTCATCGTCGATGGCACTGGAGGATTGCCGGCCGGTGGCCAGAGCGGCAAAGATCATCGAACGCATGATCAACCAGAACACGTATGATGGTATTGGGCAAGATTTCAAGTACTACAAGGACCCTCTGGACGATTCACGCAAACCCATCGGTACTCTGATGCCGCTGTGGAGATTCGCCTATGATGGCACCAAGAAGATGACCGTCACCACCATCGGCAACAACCAGCGGTACCCAGACCTCTTTGCCGTCGGCTACGGCTCGTTCAGCTTCGAGCAGCCAGCCAAGTTCGGCCTGGTCTGCTTTCACACACTGAAGAACCCGTCGTTTCCGGAGTACGTGTTCCGCCTGGGCAGCGGCATCATGTCTCTGGACATTCACCCGGAGCTGTGCCACTTTGTGGCGGTGGGCCTGTACGACGGAAGCGTGGCCGTCCTGGACGTGCGTCGTCCAGCCAGCGAGCAGCCCGTATTCCAGTCAGCCGTCAAAGATAAGCACATTGACCCGGTTTGGCAGGTGCGCTGGCAAAAGGAGGACTCCGAGAAGCGTCTCAACTTCTTCAGCGTGTCTTCGGACGGCCACGTTCCCTGCTGGACCATAATCCGCATACAGCTCGAGCGGCAGGAGATCGTCACCGTTCGCCTGCTCAACAAACCGCAGCCAACGCCCAAGAAGGGTGTTGAAGTCGAGGTGTTCAACGACCTGGCACGGGCGACTTGCTTCGACTTCAGCCCGGTCGTGGACAACATCTATCTGGTCGGCACTGAAGAAGGCATCGTCCACAAGTGCTCCAAGACCTACAGCACCACGTTCCTGGACTCGTTTCAAGCCCACAGCAACGCCATCTACTCGATTCGCTGGAGCCCGTTCCAGCCCCGCGTGTTTGCCACATGCAGCGCCGACTGGACACTGAAGCTCTGGGACGGCGAGAAGCTTTCTTCGCCGCTGTTCAAATTCGACTTCACTGACGCTGTGACCGACTTTGACTGGTGTCCGTTCTCAGCTACAGTGTTTGCCGTGTCCACTGAAGATGGAACTGTGAGTTGTGTACTGTGCACTAGGCTGTTTAGTGTAGGCTTAACTGCACATAACATCTAAATGATCACAGTCCACTGCACAACATTGCGCGGATTCTCAGTTCAAGTACTTTGAAATTGCGTTCATGGTGTGACGACGTGTGCGACTGCAAAGCAGAGTGCTGCTCATTGAAATCCAATCTTGTAGGCCAGCATGTAGCGGCGCACGCCGGTCATTTCCAGACCTGGCTATCCCTGTGATTGGAGCAGTCAAATCTTTCGAATATTTAAGTATGCGCACAATGATGTGGCCGAAAAGCAGTGTACATAACTGTGTATCATGGGCCGTGGAGAGGGGGGGGGGGGGGGGTGGCGATTATGCAATGATTGTGCACTATTATGCAATGATTATGCAATGATTGTGCAATGATTGTGCAATGATTGTGCACTATTATGCAATGATTATGCAATGATTGTGCAATGATTATGCAATGATTGTGCAATGATTATGCAATGATTGTGCAATGATTGTGCAATGATTGTGCAATGATTGTGCAATGATTATGCAATGATTGTGCAATGATTATGCAATGATTATGCAATGATTGTGCAATGATTGTGCAATGATTATGCAATGATTGTGCAATGATTATGCAATGATTGTGCAATGATTGTGCAATGATTATGCAATGATTGTGCAATGATTATGCAATGATTATGCAATGATTGTGCAATGATTGTGCAATGATTGTGCAATGATTATGCAATGATTGTGCAATGATTATGCAATGATTGTGCAATGATTGTGCAATGATTATGCAATGATTGTGCAATGATTATACAGAAATACACTATACATGCTGTAGAATTCTGCAAGAAGTGCACCGATAGTGGCGCTGGTTAAGCACCCTGGTGAGGCATGCCAACTCTTTGGCCAGTTCTCTGTAGACCTATCAGCCGAAACTCAAAAGTTCGTCAGCATGCTTCGACTGGAAACGCAGAGTGGCTGTGATTGCGCGGTATTTCTGTGCTTTGAAATCAAAACTTCAAGGATTACGCGAGGTCAACGCGGAACTTGCGCCAGAATAAGAATGAACGGCGATTATGCAAAAAACTGCACGTCTGTGTAATAGCGTAATCTGCGGGACACAGGCCTGGGAAAACTGGGCTGTGCGCTGGTGCAGGCCATTACCTTCTTCATCTGATCTGATTTCGGACTCTGCAGCATTCTACATATACGTGCTCATGTGCACACACACACACACACATACACATACACACACACACACACACACACACACACACACACACACACACACACACACACACACACCTGGTCCTGGTCCTGGTAAACACTGCCATTACGGTCACGTGTCCCCTTACGGGGCCGACAATATAGAACGACGAGCGGGACACACACACACACACACACACACACACACACACACACACAAACACACGCGCGCGTACAAATCACATGAATTTGGGGCTAGATCGCCTCACTCTCTCTCCAAGGAGGATGCTGGATAAAATGTGGTCAGATGCACATAATTATATCATTTTATCTGCTCCTTGTGCAGTGTTCGCGCAGTGGTATTGTAGAATTAACACTCACAATGTTTACATTAGATGTACGTGAAGTGATACAAGCACTCGCGATGTGTATCGACCTGCTTCTGGCGCTCTGTCTCTTTCGTAGGTCCGCGTCTTTGACCTGAGCGTGGACAAGTACGACCCACTCTGTCAGCAGCTGGTCACGCAGAAGAAGAACATGCACCTGACCAGGGTCCGCTTCAACAAGGAGTTCCCCTTCTTGCTGGCTGGGGATGATCGCGGCTATGTGCAGTCTCTGAAGCTGTCGCCAAACTTGCGCCAGGCCCTTGCGTCCAAGACCTACTCAACGGAGACTGAAGTCGCCAAGATGGACAAGCTCATCGCCTGGGTTCAAGAGCCAGCAGAGCACAAATAATCATGCGAGGCGAGTATGCGTTCTCAGATTGCCCCTGGAAAAGCAGGTCAGTAGATTTGTCACAGACTGTGCGGTGCTCCGTGTTTGCTGTGGTTTCTGCGACTGTTGACCGTGGCCATTTCCCCAGGCCCTGGTATTGATTGAGAAGATCGCTTTGAGCAACTGTTGGAGAGCTATGGAGAACAGGTTACCATCAAGTCAAAACACTGATCTAGGAGTGGAACTAGACAAGGGAGTATTCACCGACTTGAGATACAGTATGCCTTTGTCACACTTCTGTTACATTGAACATTAGGAAATAGTGAGTTCCTTGTTAGGCTAGTGACTATGATGATACATGTATGTTGTTTTTTCAATTTTTCTTGAGCAATTATTTGATTGTATATTGCAGACACGCATGTGTATATACTAGTATATACATGTATTATAGTCTGGATAGAGATATCGCTACGATTCTAGTGCCCAGTCATTCTGGATTTGAATTGGAATGAACACTAGGAAGCCTGCATATTAGCATAGAGTCAAGTGTACCCCTGGCATATCTGTACCCAATCATGCTGGGGCAGTGTCCCCACGCGTGGACTGCCTGGGACTTCCTGGGACAGGCCTCCGAAGTACATACGTGTGTGACTGTCTGTATGCATGTCATTTTGATTTGATCTAGTAATGGTGTGCTCTAGACTCATCCGTGACTTCTGCCAGCAAACTGAGATATGCCGTGGTGTTGCTTGCTAACTACCCGGTGTGTGTGTTCAAGTCGAAGAGGCGGATGTACTCATCGTCATGAACTGGGTGTTGCTAGCATGCCTCACCAGCGCAGGCCACTTTAGAGCCCCTTCTATCCCCAATGTTGTGCTTTCACAACACACACTATGCACGGTGACCAGGTGATTTGGGCACCCAGGAGCACGTGACCGCTTGTTCAACCATGTTCGATTGGGAATAAAGGAGGAACGCTGCATCGCAGCCTTTTCGGACCAAAACCAGTCGACTCAGCGTCCAAAAGACTACAACATATGGGCCAATTGCGGTCACCCGTGCTTTTATAAGAACGACATACTTGTACAACTTTTAGTGAAATTTTGCATACAAATCCCCATCTAGTAGGGCACAGTCACCCAGTTTCGGTGGAAGTGCGCGAGTTCGATTGGGAAAAAAAGAAGGAAGGGAGCGTCGCAGCTTCCTCGGACCAAGACCATTCGACTCAGCACCCAGAAGACTACAACTGGTGATTATTATTATTATTATTATTATTATTATTAGACACAATCTCATAGCATGTGACAAGCATAGCTAATGCAGGGACAGAATCCCCTGAGACAAGGGCGTTGAGCCAGCCACGTGAAAATTTGATTTTAGGGTATACTTCCCCTTAAAGAGGTAAAATGTTTTTTCTGCAATCCCCTGTGGAATCCTCTTCCAAAATGCATGTTTGTTTCTGAAGTCAATTAATTTTGTCCAAAAAGCAAGCCATAACAAGAATAGGATTTCGGCCAGGTTTTGCTTCAAAAGCACTGAATTGGGAAAACCATCAAAGTCCAGGCCGTTTGACCCTGCCTCGCAGAACAGTGCACTGTGCGGTTCGAACTCCAGTTCAGGTACCCTTTTTGGACTCTTCTTCAAATTTCAAATTTCGCAGCACTGCACTGTGTGTGATAAAATCATGAAAAATCGCCAAATGCGGGAGCTCCTAAGGGCCAGTGTCCATTTTTTTTACGAATGGACTATAGCATCAGATTATATTCTGATCATGTTCACGTTGCTCCATTTTATCACATACATGTACATCTACACTCCAAAGTACTGGTTAGCCGAAGCTACAGTTGAAATATGAAAAGCTAGACGTGGCATGCAGCTGTACTGTACAGCAGGAGAGTAAATAATATCAAATGAACAACTTTCTATGAGACAAACAAATATTCTGGAAGGAAAAGGTACAGACTTGTCAAGTTATACATAAGCAGTCGGAACCGATGAAACATTTACATACGGATAAAATAATTATTACTTGAATCGTCAAAAGAGTGGAGAAAAGAAAAAAGAAAGGAAGGGGACGGTGAAACTAGAGGTAAAAATAGTATACCGTGTTATATTGTTTGCAAAGTGAAGGCTGTGTAGTGTAGATATGTAGTGTAGATATGTAGCTTGTAACGTCTTCAAATGAGTGAGACCATAAACACATTTACGTGGCAAAACAAGGAAATGTTTATCAGCACACACACACACATGTGCACAATCAGCATTATCAATGAGGTGATTGGCCACAGAAGAATTCCGTTTCCGATCAACGGCGCGAACATGCACTAACCCGTGAATTAGATGTACGATTCGACTCATCCGGTGTTGTCGCACTCCAACACACACTCCTACACATCCACACGCACACCAGGGGCGTGCTGATTGTAATGACATTCTGTGTGTTTGTGGCATAATGTACTTGATGTGTGGTTTTGCTCAAACATGTCCCTCTACTACTCTACACCTTATTCACCGTCTATTGTAATCGACTCGCCGTACTAGCGTATTGTAATCGACTCGCCGTACTAGCGTATTGTAATCGACTCGCCGGTGTTGTTGAGACGGAAATATGGATACCACTTTCCTCCACCGCTAGCGTGGTCAGAGGGTAGGCTGAGGATCTTCACTCGTTCCATGCCTGCGAACAACACCTCGATCCTCTGACGATCTACATCGATAGTCAAACACACGTCGCAATCCTTGCGAGGTAAAACGAAGTCAGACGACTTGTCATGCGCATGCTGTTGACAATGGTCTTCGCACACCCACCATCCTTGCACCGCATTGCACGTCTCTGCTTCTCTGACTGTAACCCTGTTCTTCAGCTTTGCTACACCCATGAAGATGTTGTGATGATCTTCCCAGTTGGTCTTGAACAACCAGCATGCTCTGCCAGATGAGTATCCGTAAGTACCTACAGCCATTGCACAATCAGTATTAGTAGCGGTGACAGTGCAGCTGTCCTCAGAGAATGATAGTGATGTTGAGCGTAAATCACGGTAGAATTTATTGGAGTAACGACGCACATACCATGTGACCATCTTCTTTTCAGCTGATGATACATGTACAGGATAACCACCAGGGACAAGTTGGAACGCTTCAGTCTCACATACTGGTTTACCGTTGTCGCTGCGGCCCACTGTTAACTGCATTTCCTGCACATGATCATCAGGGTGTATCAAGCTTACACGGACATCATCCGGGACGGTATCAACGTCAAGTGGTCGATTGTCAAAGCCTTGGAGTAGAAATTGGAGGAAAGTCATAACTGCTTCCGGTGTTGACTTCTTCATAAGCATATAAGGCACCATCCTCTCAACGTCCACTCTAGTTGAGAACACAGTTGTTTGTGACTTTACAGTCTTGACAGCATTCTGCACTGCTTCATCATCAATGGTCACACCTAGCTTTCCAGTGATATGAATCATTGGTGTGTCCAGGTCTTCTGATGTCATGCTACTCGTAGCGTCCAGAATACTGCTGTGAAGCGATAAGACATGCTGGTCCATTGTTGATACTGTGTCTATGGAGGAAGCATCAGAACAGCCTTCAGCAAGGCGATCACCAAGCACCTGGATGGTGTCAATTGTCTGGCGCTTTGAATTCAGGCGGCTTTGCTCAGACTCCAAGTGTATTCGTTTTTTCCACCTGATCTGGTCGATCTCATCCTTCACACGTTGCTTGTCTTTCTCCAAGGCTTTGATCAGATCGTTGTTTTTTTTTTTTTTTTTTTTTTTTTTTTTTACTTGAAACCACGCACCCAATTCGTAAAAGAAGAAAGAAGCAGGAAATGACAAAACAACAGACTAACAAGACATTGACTGAATGGGGCTGCAAATGCAACGCAGCGGTGGTGATGAGGTGCTGCAGGCTCCGCCGACCAATGGTCTCGGCATCCGCGCCTACTTCACGCATCAGAAAATCGGGAGAAGAAGAGAAACAAAAACGATTGAAAAATATATATAGCGAAAAGTATAGTGTGGAGAGAGAGAGAGAGAGAGAGAGAGAGAGAGAGAGAGAGAGAGAGAGACGGAGAGAGAGAGAGACGGAGAGAGAGAGAGACAGAGAGAGAGAGAGACAGAGAGAGAGAGACAGAAAAAGAGAGAGAGAGAGAGAGAGAGAGAGAGAGAGAGAGAGAGAGAGAGACAGAGAGAGAGACAGAGAGAGACAGAGACAGAGACAGAGACAGAGACAGAGAGAGAGAGACAGAGAGTAGAGAAAACAAGGAAAAAGAGAGCAATACCTATATGTAGATACTGAGTTTAGACTGAGTCAGTAGCCCACATCCAGTTCTCGGCGCGCAGGTAGCGGTATATCTGCGTCTTGAATGCCTGCATTCGGCTGCGATGGGGAGGATGCAGGAGCAGATCACAGGGCAATGCATTCCACTGGTGGCTCGGAGCACACAGTGGGGAAATGATCGCTTCAGGACTAATGGGGTAGAGGCTGGCAGGCTGGCGTCCAGTTGAAACCGGTGGCCAGCAGCGCTGGCATGGTCGCTCCGGGTTCGCGGGTTGGCCGACTGCTGACGGCGAGCTGGCAGAACCTCGAGAAGTGGAGGTGGGCCCGTAATTACTTGTAGCTTGTATAAACAAGCTAGGGCAGCTACTGTCCGTCTGATTGCCAGACTAGGCAGGATTGCTCCCGGACCGATGATTCCGAGGGCCCTGTGCTGGACTCGGTCCAGTCGGCTGAGGTGGCTGGATGACGCTCCAATCCAGATAAGTGGGGCGTACTCCAGCAGCGGACGGACGAATGCTTTGTACACTGTTATGCGCCCAGCCAGAGGGAGAAGATGAGCTGACCGGCGCAAAAGACCAAGTCGCTGCCTTGCCCGGGTTGCAACAGACCGGAGGTGCTCCCCAAAAGACAGCTTCTGGTCAAAGAGGACGCCTAGGAGGGTGATCGAGTTTGCCTCGGGGACTTGTATTCCGCCAAACATGATTGGCGGGAGGTGCAAGTCAGCTCTTCGGAGCGTTGCAGTCATTGCCTGGGACTTGGTGGGCTCAAATGCAATCTTCCATTTCTGGCCCCAGTTATGCAGCCGATCGATTGACAGTTGCAGTGAGTGCCCTGCACCTGCCGCGCTGCCATTCGACACAATGGAGTAAAGTGTGGTGTCATCTGCGTACGCCTCCAGCTGGGCATCATCCACCAGAACAGAGGGTGCATCATTTACGTACAGTAAAAACAGTGTCGGGCCGAGTATGCTGCCTTGGGGAACGCCCGCAGTTATGGGGTACTGGGTAGACGTATAGCCACCCACCAAGCATCGTAATGAACGTGATGACAGGTACGACGACAGCCATGTGTGGAGTGGCCCAGTGATTCCTGCATTACGTGCCTTATGGAGGACACCAACATGGGACACGCGATCAAATGCCCCAGCAATATCAACAGCGAGGATACGAGCTGCTCCATTTCGCCCGACAGCATTAACCCAGGCATGATGCAGAGCCTGCAGAGCATCAGATGTACCCAATCTTCTCCTGAAACCAAACTGGTGGGAGGTGAGGAGCTGATGGTGTTCCAGAACGTCTCCACTTTCTTAGATGCATCAGTGGCCTGCTCGTCAACTTGATCCACTGCAGCACTGAGGTCTGTTAGTCTGTCGTCCAAACCGGCCAGGTCAGACAAGCCCGGAACACTGCTGATTTCCTTTACGGCTCGGAGAATTTCTTGCCTCTGCTTCTG